GTTCCAAGATAATTCTATCTGTTGGCATCAGGTGCTGCCATGAGAGCTGTCTTTTCTTTCGTTCTGCCACCACCATCCAGCTCTGCTCCCTGGCCTGCTATCTCCCTGGGTCCAGCAGCACTGGAGCTGGAGGTCTGATGCTGGGCAGGTGCATGTGGGGCTGCTGGCCCCAACTTGTCTGGTTCCTGTGAATGCCTCTCTGCTCTTCCTCAGATTCTCACCTTCCTTTGTGGAGCCCCTGGGAGGGCTTTGGCAGCATCAGGCAGGCATAGAAGGAAAGGAGCTCTGCAGATCTCGTAGGGGCTGGCTCTGCTGTGTTTCTCATTTAGTACGGCCACCTCTCTGTCTGGGATCAGCAGCACAAGGCAGAGCAGCCAAATTAGATGTATTTCAGCTGAAGAAATGCAGTTGCTCTCAGTGTGGTTTTACATGCTGGGGTTCTTCTTCTTACTCTTTTTCCTTGTACCACCAGACTACGCTGAAACCTGGCGCTGTTAGAGGATGTCTTTTGGCTTTTCTTTGGAAAGCTCAAATCAAGGCTGCTTCTACTTTGCTGTGGGTGGTGGTAACCTGTGCATAGGCTCTGCTGGAGTATGGTCCCAGGGCAGCTGCTTCCCCTCTGCCCTCCTCAGTGTGCTGCAGAAAGGAGGAGGGGACATGGGTTTGCTGCTCCTCCTGCTGTTCGCTGAAGTGCTGCTAGCCAAGATGCTCACTTTCCCCTCAGGAATAACGCTTTGACCAATTCTGGGTATAATGTAGTGGTTCTGATTATCCTGAGAGTGTCTCCACATTGTAATGGTCTCAATTGACTGCAGCCTGCTCTAGAAAGAACAGTAAATAATACACAATAACTATATTCATTTATATAGCACTATTTTCAAAATGCAATGAATAATACAATAAAATGAACATGCAGAGGATCTTTCCCAATGGCATCTTTAGAAAACTTTGACATTAGAGCAGAAACAGAAGTGATTGCTGAAGTTCAGTGAGGTGTGGGGGCTGCTGAATGCTGACCGAAGGGCTGTGTATGTGGAAATGTAGTCTTAAGTGTTCATTGTGCTTTCTTCCTGCCTTAACATCTTGGAATCTATTCATTAAAAATAAAAGCGGTGAAGAGGAGAATAGTTATTAAGCAGTTGCCAGGGAATGTCCTTTTAAGTAGTAAGAACTGCTTTCTAATATCAGGAGAAGGGAGAGGAATTGAATTCCGGAGGTTTGAGGGAGTTCAGATTTGCTTTCACAGTAAAGGTAAGACTGGCTCTGCCCTGTGAGAAGGTGGAGGAATGCCTCTAGACAGGTGATGTCACCTGACAAGGCAGGATGTGAATTGGAAGCTGGAGGATAACTCATGTGATATGAGGAAGAAAGAAAACAAGCAAAAAAAAAAAAAAAAAAAAAAACCAACCGAAAAAGACAGGGCTAACCTGCACCTTATTCCTTCATTCCAATACGTCCTGTCAGAAGCACACATCTTCTGGCTTCCCAGGATCTGTGCACACAGCTTGTTTGAAAGATTAGGGCCCCGCAGTCAATAGATGCCAAACAGTCTGGTAGCAAGTGTGTTACAGCTGGCATTGCTTATTTTCTCAGTGTGCATTGTAACATGCACTGTTGTTTACAGTCCAACTTAAGGTTTCTCAGCTCAAGCAGCAATTTACTTTTACTGACATGGGTGAGTGTAAATCCAGGACAAATAATTCTTTTTGTAAATTATGCTGTTTTGTCTGATGTGTTTCCTTTTAATAAAATGTGTCACCATTAGTGCAGAATTATAGGAAATGACAGTGGCCAAGTTATTGCTCAGTAAAAGTTTGACTGTGAAAAAGATGCCTCCTCTTAAGTGAGCTCTATGATGATTTCTTCCAGATGGAGAAAGCATACTTTACAGTAACCCATATGAAAAAGGATATTCTCAATCCTGTACTGATAATTAGAAGGCACAGAGAGAAGGTTATGATTCTGTAAAACTTGTTAAGGAGCTCTGTGCTTTGTTCATAGTGGAAAGCAACAGAGAGGAAGACGAGCATACATTAGCACACCTTCAGTTCTCCCAGGGCCGTGGAAGTCCAGGTTTCATGGATTAAAGGAGTTTGTTTTCCTAGGAATTTCCTGATGCAATCTGTATGTATTTGAACTTTCAGAAACTTGCAGGTACTTTTCCTGAGTGATGTTGTGGTTCTTTAATTAGTAAGAGACTTACACTCCTATTCTATGAATGACGGAACATACACTTAATGAGAATGGTCTAGCTCTGCTTATAACAATATGGAATTTATAATTCTTTTACAAATACTTTTAGAAACGTTACTAAACTTATCAGAATATATGTGGACACTCACGAACAAAGTCTTTTCTTCTGACATGGCCTGCAGGCTAGATAGATTTCTTCTTTGATCAAGATCTGCAGACCTGCTGCATGCTTGTGGAGTCAGAGGAACAACTGATTTCAGATTTTATCTCGCAAAAAGCTGAACTATTGGGAAAAATCTTTGTGTTGTATTTGTCAGCATCAAAGAAATAATAAGTATTCCTGAAAGAAATTCCCTTCATTATGTTTAAAAAAGCAAAAACCAAAGCAAGATAAAATGTCATCAGGACTAATCTCTGGGAATTGGGAAGGCCCAGTGATGGGAGATCAGAGCAGAAAGCAGAGCTCACCTAACAAGAGATTAAATGATGTCCTCGCGTTGCTCTAATAAGCGATTTGCATTAATCATTTTCTGGTAGACTCAATAGTGTGTGTCCATGGAGGGGATTTTCTTTCCCAAACATTGATTGCCATCATACACAGAATTACTTTCAATATATTTCTGATCATTTCTAATACAAACACGAAGGTTTGTAAAAGGGAATGTTGTATGGCTAAACTAGAATATAAACGTCAGTTATGTCGAAGTGTTTCCATACCAGCTCTATCTTTATTATAGACGCGGTAATAGAAACTAGCGACCATGATAATTAGCAATCAATTTCAGCATTATGCAAATCTGCAAAGGAAAAGAAACTACTCCCAACATGTGGACCCTTTGCTTGAGAAATGAACTTCTTTTGTTTTGCTTCTTTGTGTAGCCTTGTCCTTTTGGACCCATTCAAGAAATTCTGTTTGGGAATTCATACCGACTGTGATGTGAGTACGAAAACCAGTGGTACAGGAAGAAATACTGAGCAGAGAAATATTGATAGAGACGGGACAAGTTCTAATTTTGCTACACTAGCATTTGTATTTGAAATTAATGAGCCTCATCTAATATATATATTCATATAAATAAAAATCATGTTGTCATGCAGACAGACAGGAGCACTGTGCTGGCAGTTTAGCTGTTTCAGATGCATCCCATATATTATGGCAAGCGTTCCGAAGGGATGCAGCTCCAGGCAGTAGTTAAGTTGTTTCCTTCATCCCATGCAGATTGCTCTCACTTCAAAACTGGGAAAGACTGGAACACTGGGAGTTCACGTGGCAGTAGAATAGCTGTGTAGCCATGTAGAGTTGAGCAAACCAGGTTGGTGTAAAGGGCCAGGCATGGTGGGGATGGCCTTCTGAAGGCTTCAGAGCAGCTTCAGGCTGCAGAGTTGCTAAGAGGTTGTGTACGCACTGTGTCCTGTAGTATGGTGTATTTACAGCATCCTGCCTGTATTTTTCTCAAAGAAATTATTATGATTTGATTATCTTAAAAGAGGTTTGTCCCACACGTGGAGAGTGTGTTATTTTGAGTAGATTCACTAAGTAAACTACACGGTTGAAGAAGCAGTTGAGTTATGTAAGGATATTGCTTCTGAGTCCAAAGCAGTACTTCTCAATATATGTTTAAAAATATTTCTAATCCAAACTGTGTAGGAGGTGCTCACAAGGGACAAATAACTTAATATTGACATAGCCTTAAATATATTGAAAAGACATAAATCAGAATAATGAGATTCATAAATCTGTTAATATTAATGGGAAAACCTTTTGGGAAATGTAGTGTAAAATCAAAGAAAAAAAATGAACTTGAGATGTAAGCAATGACTCTAGTTAAATGAATAAAAAATTTGGTATTTTGTTCCAGTGCTTTCTCAAGTTGGAAGAAATCTTTGCATCCATTGGAAACTGCTTATGACTTTAATGCTGTTATAAAGAACATACATATCAGGGAAAAAAAAGAATCACAGGTATCTCTAGAAGCCTGCTAATAAAAGTAAACCCTAGAACTATGTTTTGTTTTTTTGTAGTGATTTTTTTTTTTGCGTTGTGGAATGAGGAAAGCACCATAAAGCCTTTATTTCAAAAATTCTCCGCTATCAATAGATTGACTCCACACTGAATTTCAAGGCTATAAAGCTTTATTAGCAAGAAGAATATGTATATTGTTATTCATTTGTTCACACTGCAATGGTTAAGAGACTGTCAGCACTTCCTTTAAAAACCCCTATAATTTAACAGGAAATTCTAATGCATAAAAATCTATTCTAGGCTGCATTTGATCCTTAACCGTGTTTTCACAATTAACTATTTGGATGTTTTATCTTGAAAATGTGACTTGTTGTGCCCTTAGAGGTGCATACCATCTTGTATGTGCTGTAAAATATTCCTAATATCAGCAACTGCAAAAACACCACTCATCTTTCTCCTACTTGGCTGACCTCTCTTGCCCATCCGCCTCTGCCGCAAGGAAGTCCCTAATTTCTGTCCTCCTTTCATTTCCAGTTACCACATCATCTTTGATTTTATTTACCTTGCAAGCTGCTGCAAACCTTTACCACACAACACAGAGCAATGTCTCCTGACTAAAACCACTCCTTTTGGCATTGAAAATCTTCCTTGGAGTTCTGGGGGAGTGTGGGGCATATCCTATGGGCAGAGCTCCTCTATAGGCAGGACTCACTGCAGCTTCCAATTACCTCAAATAATCCAGGCTTCTAGAATCACTGTGATGTTTGTTCAAGATCTAGTTCTGGCTGAGGGTGATGCACGAAGAGATGCTGACCTGGCCCAACCTGCCTTCTCTTTTGAACAGATACTGCTGTTAAATCTCATCTTAAACCCTACATGAAACCCAATAACTACTGTCGTGTGAAGAGACATCTGCATGTTTGCGTGGGCTTCGCAGTCTCTTACTCAGGTAATTGATGCAAATAATCATTCCCTCTGCAAAATGCTGAGTTCTGTCATACAACTAATAGGTTCTTTTTGATGTAGCAAGAAATATTTTACCACTGGTGATTTAAATAGATGCTTATTGTGCATGTGTCTATAGGCAGGGTATTTCCTGACAGTGCTTGGGATAGACCTTATTACCTCTCTACTCGGCTCTTGTGAGGCCCCACCTGGAGTACTGTGTCCAGGTGTGGAGCCCTCAGTACAAGAAAGACATAGAGATCTTGGAAAGGGTCCAGAGGAGGGCGACTAAGATGATCAGGGGGCTGGAGCACCTCCCCTATGAGGACAGGCTGAGGGAGTTGGGCTTGTTCAGCCTGGAGAAGAGAAGGCTGCGGGGCGACCTCATTGCAGCCTATCAATACCTGAAGGGAACCTACACCCAGGAGGGGAGTAAACTCTTCAGAAGGGCTGACAACAGCAGGACTAGGGGAAATGGATCAAAGTTGAAGGAGGAAAGATTTAGGTTGGATGTTAGGGGGAAGTTCTTCACAAGGAGAGTGGTTAGGCCCTGGAACAGGCTGCCCAGGGAGGTTGTGGATGCCCCGTCCTTGGACGTGTTCAAGGCCAGGTTGGACGGGGTCCTGGGCAACCTGATCTGAATGTGTGTGTTTGGTGGCCCTGCTAGGCAGGGGGGTTGGAACTACATGATCCTTGAGGTCCCTTCCAACCCAGGTGATTCTGTGATTCTGTGATTCTGTGATACCAACGATGATTACAGATGTTGTATCTAACAAGCTTTCACATTTCAAATGCATTTGTTCAGAGCAGGGACCGTGCCTCTAAGATATTAGATAAACCCCTCTTGTGTACTCATAACTGATAAACTGCACTTTTTGGTGTTAAAAACAAGTTAGTAGAGAAGCTCTTATGTTAGAATATTCAGTAAGTTTCTCAAAAATCTGTTTAAGATTTATAGAAAATGTTTTTTTTTTTTTTCTGAGCAATTATAAGGTAAAAAATATTTGTCAAAATGCTCAGACTGTCTGTTTCTTAGTTGAGCTGTCTGAATGTGTTAATTTGAAAGACCCTATAATAGTGCTTGTCCCATTTCTTTAAAGCTTCCTCAAAGATGGTTCCTATTCACGTGTGACGACTACTGTACATCAACAGTATTTTCAAATCTCAGATCAATATCCTGGATGTTTTCTGGGAAATTAATTAGTCTCACTGAGGGGTTACTTTCCTAGTACGGAAAAAAAATCCTTTGCTCTATTTGATATTGACTACATAGTCAACTGGATAGACACAATATTTACCCTCCTAAGAGGTCAATTTAAGCACTCCAGGCAATACAGTAAGAATGCACTTTTTTGCTGTTTCATTTGTAAGCATTGACCACCCACAGTCTTTGGTTAAGTTAAATTATATTCCAGGCTATTGCTGCTACCTGATTTTACTCAGATCTACTCTTGATTCTAGATTAGTCATTTTCTCATTAGGGATGATCCCTTTTCTAGCAGCAATATATCTAAAAATGTCTATTGCTGGAAGCAGACATTTTAAAAAGAGGAAGTTCTGTGATCCAGTAAGGCTGTAAAAATATTAAAATCTTCCAATATGCGTTATGAAAACATTTCACAATGATAATTTCATACAGAACACAGATACTAGCACATGTACATTTTTTTCATACTCTTAATTACAAATCCTTAGGATTTTGCAGCATAGGAATGAAGTAATATTTGTTGGGAGTCAAAAGCTGTAGTTCACATTTAGACAAGAAGCATTTCTGCAGGAACCTGCCTTATCCACTGCTAACTTCTAAAGTTTTGTCCTTTAAGACCGCAGAAAAAGTACATTTGTAGGATGTTTATGCCTTGTTAGAGTAGGACAGAACTAACTCAGAAATTGAATGCTTGACTTCTGCATCTGATGACTTGAAAACCACGTTTGATGAATGCTTTATTCTCTGAAAGCATTTCCTAACTCTGTATGTAAAACTGTGTTTTAGTAAATCCTCTGTGAAGGGTTTTCAGATGATTTTGTTGCACGTAGCATAAAGTTAAAAACTCAGAAATTGTTCTGCAGTCATCTTCCGGCCTGTCTATTAAAAGTGGGAAGCCCTGTTGGGTTTTTCTTCCTATGACAACTTGCCCATAACTCTTTAATAGTTTTTCCACAGCTGAGAAATGTCATTGGTTTTGTTTATTACTGAGAGCTACAATTCTGTGTTCTCTTCTTGGTATGCCCAACATGAATCATACTTTATAAACATCCTGTTGATATTGATGGAATAACTGTCAACTTAATAAGACTTTGATGTTTTCCTGCAACTCGTGTGCACTAAGGGACAATGTTGATAGTCTTCAAAGTGCTAATGTTTAAAAAAAAAACAACAAAAAACAAAAACAACCAAACCTTCTCCACGAGTATAGGATATAGACTGAAACATTACTTCATGCAGTGCTTCTGAGGCATTCTAAAAACATAAAATCCTGACATATTTTCAAGTTCCAGAAGAAACTTCAAAATATACGGCATAAAATTTTAGTGTAGAGCTGATCTAAGGACTGCAACAACTGGTTTGAACTGATAATGTATGGTAGTTCAGAATTTCTTCTAAGAGCTATGGCTGAGCTATTCTGACATGATATTTCTTCTTTTTGTTGGTCTATGTGATTTTCTTATGGACACAACTGACATCAGTTATGGATGTAATCATAGACATGTTATTTACTAAGTCATAGACTGTTATTTAGTACAAGTCAATTTCTTGTTTGTAAGGACCAAAAGCATTGCTTCATATAAAAATAGAGTTTTAGCATGATACAGTTTGTAACGCAAGTACTTTGAAAACAAACCATTCCCAGATCAGTCACAGAAAACCATTTTTATGAGTGGGTTTTTGTAAGCCAGACACTCCTTTAAAGATGACCCTGTGGAGTACAATAGATGGGACAAACAGTGAGAGACAAGTTTCAGATTGCTTTTGAATAACATCTAAAGCTTCATGGTGGCCCCTTTGATGTGACCCCAAGGGGACTGACCACCTGTGTTGCTTTGTGTGCTGATGATTTGTTAATCAGGAAAACAAGAAATGCAATATGGCCTCAAGTAAATCTTTCAGTAATCTTAGATGAGAGTCAGATTTTTTTAATGATCTTTGTTCTTTTCTTTAAACAAAGCAAATAATTTCTTAAAGATTAACTGCTTAATTCTATGTTCTTGCATGCAGTCTTCTAAGAAAATTTTTCATGTTTTACTTTTTTCTATATGCTACCAATATTAGAATGCATAAATCTTAGATTTTTAAAAGGGACAGTCATTACATATGGCTACTTCTTACTTCTTTAAACTCACTCAGGTTTTTTACTTCAAGTTGTTACCGATTGTTGAATGTATTTAAGTACTCACTGCTGTAGTACAATCTACCTGTGCCCTCACATTTTTCCCTTAAGAAATAAGCAAATGAGAAAAAAAACAACAAACATTACTTATTATTTTGCAGTCATTTAGGAAGGATTAAATGAATTCAACTGTTTTCATAGGATAATAAATGCTTATTTCTACACTCTTCCTTGTTTCCATGGATTCCAGTACTGATCCACAAGGCAATGAGACTTCAATTTTTATATTGGTGGTAAATCAACTGCGCTGCAGTAGTCTAAAGTAAATATCATTCCCTTCATAATTTCCTGAACATTAAAAAGATAGCTTTTTTTTTTTATTTCAGTTAAGAAGTCAAGTCAAGAATGTAAATTGAATCTTGAATTTGAGTAACAAATTTCTGAGTTTGTAAGCATCCTGGTGTTTAAGACGTCTGCCACTCACTTCCTCCTTTCCAGAGTGTTATTGCAAAAGGAGTAATTAGGAGATTATTTCAAGTAAGCCTATAGAAATATGATAAGCTTGTCTTCTAGATTGAGTGTAAGGTTTCCTTGAACAGTGAAATTCTGTCTTAATTTCCATTTTTCTAGAAGAATTACATAAAGGAAAACCCATAACTGTTTTGATAAAGTCATAGTTAAAGAAAAAGTTGTTAGATCTTAAACTACAAATATTCTTAGATGAAGGGCTGAAAGACTATGAAATAGTGGTTGTGTTTGAACAAGTACACAGGGCTGGGCTCAGATGGGTTATACAGTTATAGAGAGGTTTCAAGTCCTTGATGAATTGGTTGGTTTTAAAGCAGCAACCTGATAACATGTGGTAGAATACACTGATATCAATGTATGACTTAGTTCTGCTAAGTTAGGACACAGGCATCATCAGAGGATGTATGACATCATTTTTTATTCTGCATCTTTTGCATCCAAGAGGTTTTTTACCTCTTGTTTTCTGACTTTATGAGATGGGTGTCTAGATAATAAATCTCCTTTGCTATGGAATCTTTGCCAAGATGCGGTGCAGCGTCCTGCCTGGGCACTGAGTGAGGCAAAGAAGAAAGACTTTCAGTAGTAGCAGCATCCAAATTTATACGCACTAAAGGGAGAGTATAGTTAAATTTGATGGGTAAACTTCTCCTACTGCTTTGTTCTGCAAGTCTTACTTGTAGAGTGTATTTTTATTTCCAAGTATGATTTTTGTGGTGCAGTTTCATGGTAAAGATCTGCGTATGGTCACTTACATACAGGAATTTCTACCTAAATGCTAATGCAAGTTCACAAATTCCACTTAGATTCACTTCCTTGTAGAGATGTGTCCTCTTTTCAAGTGAAGTGCTGCATTTTTTACCTTCAAATTTACCATTGCGTAAATTTACCATTGGGATTAATCTGGTTATTTACTCTTGATAATGGAAATAAGACAAAGGGGAAATGTTTTTCACACTGAGCAGGCACCATGTTCTTCTGGTACGAGCGTTCTTTTCCTTTGTTTTCGAAACAATCTTTTGATTTCTTAGGCTTTCCTTTCATGACATTTAGGAGGAAAGGAGGAAAGGAAACTGCTGTTGAATATGAGATGCTTGGGATTTCTGTTTTATTATACTTTTTAAATATTTGAACTCTGCTTCAGGACGGAACAAATTAGAGTTGAAACTGCAGGGTGGGTAAGTAGTTTCAAGGCTTCTTTATTTGATTTTCAAAAGTCCGTATTTACTCTCCTCCATTTTAATGTGAAGTACCTTTCTGCTGAGTCTAAACAGCCTTTTTATTGGTGATTTCTAATGAGCAGTTACCTGCACAGCAACTGATAATCTTCATTACGAAGTCTTTCAAAAAAAAAAAAAAAAAGACAAAAAAAAAGCCAGCTACTAACAAAAATTCTTTTCCTCTGCTGTGTGCCTTGAAAGACTTATGAAAACTTTCTTCACGCACTGCTTTATTTTTTTTATTTGCTCTGTTTCACAATGCAGTTTGTATCTTCATTTCAGCTTAAACGCCCCCTTAACACAGCATTTTCTCTCCTCCTCGATAAGAAGCAAGCCTAGTGGTAGATCTGTATGTTGCATTTTATTCAGTGGAACATTGGCATTGCAGGCAGGTACCTCTCCTCAGTCCCAGCTCAGCTCCACTACAAACTCGTGCCCAGTTCATATACTTGCAACAAAATGATGTATAATCTCCTTGTAATTGTATTGGTCATATTTGCTGTACAATGGAAACAAACTTGAGAGATTCACAGGTTCACTAGAAGGGCAACTGATATGAAACTCATTTCCTAATATATTTTATCTATGCCAGCAATGCGATGGTTCTTATGGACAGTGAACAATAAAGCTAGTCAAAAAGATCATTAAGTAACTCCCATGAAGTTATAATAATGCATTAAAACATGTACCCTCTACAGTGCGCCTTGCATCACAAAGCCCCTTAATTCATCTGCTCTTAGGCAACAAGCAGATCAGTGACCATAAATCTACTAGCTATGCTCCAGCACTGTATTTTCTCCTTTGCTTCAGAGCTTCTGGGCTACTGTGAAGAGAAAACCAAAATCTTGCAATAAGCTATCGTGTACTGCAAGTGTTCAAAGCTAGGAAAATTACTTTGAACAAGGCAGATAGAAGTTCTGATTTTAAACTTCCATATTAAAGTCGTAATGATCTGCATTTTTGTACATAGCTTTGAAAATCCCCACTGTGGAATCATGCACTATCAAGGGTCATTTTAATAACATTGATTGTTAAAAGACACAGTTCCCAGTGTAAAACAAGAACTCATCAGAATTCAGGATAAAGCTGATTACAGAGGAATGCCTAAAATTGAATATTAAGAAGATTAAGAAGAGCTGGGTATCAGTGCTATATTCCGAAGGGAAATCCATGATGTGCTCACTGTCCCAATCAGCGGTACCCAAAGGCAATGAGTACCTCTGTGAGTGTACCCTACTGGAGAGGCAACTCTGAGAGTTTGGCCAAGGGTAACTATAAATATTAAAACCTTTATTATCAATGTTTGATAGAAACATAAAAAATTTATAGTTGTATACAAATTCTTTCTTTTACAGAGGAGACACATGAGATTTTATAAAACCCCTGTTAAGTCACTCTTTCATTTTTTTTTCTTTCAGACAGAACCTAATTATTTCTGCCCAAATTCCTTTCTTCAATAGAGGTAGTATCGTCCGAAAAAAGCAAAATAGAATGAATAGCTGAAGCCCTATATAGAGCTAATAGTCCTGTATCAAGGTTGTTCAGATAGGCTGCTTTGCTATGTTTTGTTTCTTTTTCTTCCTTTTTTTTTTATTCCAAGTCCCCTAGCCCCTCTGCCTCCTTTTGTTATTCAGTATGTGTTTGTCACAGACTGTGTCTTGTTTAGAAACAAATGCATTCAGACATCTTTGGTACTTACAAAAGCATAGTCTCATATTACGGCAATCATTAACATAACAGTAACACACAAGAGTTGTTCCAGCATATTGAAAAACCTGTGAAGCTTTCAGTGCACTCAGTGACTGTATGAGATAGCAATGAAAGGCAAATATCTACCTAAATGTGAATTTCCACCTCACTGTAACATCTAAATGGAATTACATCCCGCATTGTTGAGAAGATTCATTAAAGGGACATAGAATCTTAAGACTGAGTACCGTCTTGTTTTGTAGTGGGAAGCTATGTGGGATACTGCAACCTTTACATATTTAAAATATCATTATTGTAATGTAGAGTGAATCAGCCCTGCGCTATTTATGTTTATGGTGTAATAAATACAGTGTGCCAAGAAACTATCTTGGAAGAGGCTGTAGTAAGGGAAAGCAGATCTTTATTAATTGCACTAGTAGCATTAGAGGAACTCATTTTATAGTTCTGTGTAGTACACAAGAAATCAGGAAATATAAGATCTCCACATTTTACTACAGCTTTCTACCTTCTCAGTTGATATTTTTGAAGAGACCAAATAGCACTTAACAAGACCCTTTTTCCCTTCCTAGCATCATCTCCAGTAAGGTCCCTACTCAGCCGACTCTCTCTGTGGCACTCAGCAACATATAATCAATAATGATCTTTTCAGTTGGTTGTGTGCCCTATGCAAGTCTATTAATGTTGTTGCAAAAGCATTTGAGGTATATTTTAAATGGCTATCTTCTATTTCTGTGTTCTTAGGTGTCCTGCTCTCCCATATAATTTGTACTACCGTGCTGCTGTAGCCCAATGATAGCTAGCAGACCTGTAGAAAATAAATGAATTGTTTAACTTGTCAAACAAACTAGGCTTTCATGGCCAGCATGATGTGTATATGTAACTGTATAAAACTGGATTTGTCTGTATTTTGAGCAAAAATGCACTAACTCACCATAGATATGGAATTAGACATAGCAGTTTGTTCACAAAGGCACTACTATTGCACTAAGTTATAATGTTCAGTTGTATTGCTGTAAGTTCATTTTATTTTGAATAATAAATGCCACAAATATCAACTCTGTGAATATCTCAAATTTCTGTTGATAAGTCACTCTATCTTTGAGTAGACAAAGACTGTAATACGCTTTGCTGCAACTAAGACAAAGTAGCCTATTGCAAAGAATGTCAGTAAATGCCCATGGACCCCCTGAGCTGTAAGTGAATGTTTTTGAATAACACCAGTAATCTAAAGGTAATTAAAGTAGTTTATGCAAGGAGCAATAAACAGCTATTGTTGTCTCTACAGAACATCATGCTTTTTGCAGATAATGTTTTTTTAGCCTTCTTGTTGGTTAGAAAAAAATAAAATCAGGGACTGCTAGTCTGAAGGAAACAAGGACAAGATAATAACTAGAGATGCAAATAGTGCCTGTGCTTTGGAATAGTACAAATTGTTACAACAATCACAGAGAAAGCTGTACAGAGGTTATAAGATGGCAAGTTAATGCAATGCTTAAAAGAATTAGAGTGTTGGAAAGACCTAAATTACAAGAGCAAAGAAATGAAAATATAACTTAATAAGAAACAAATGCTGCATGCTGTGTATTAACAGTGGATCGCTTGCAGAAAATATAGAGAGTCTTTGTTTACTCAAGCCTGAATCATGGGCAAAGGTTTACATAAACTGCTTCTTTCCTGATCACAAGTATGGAGAGTCCTGTGGGACTGTATAGTCAATAGGGCTTTTCAGTCACGTGCAATGACTTGCTTCATGTTTGGATTCAGACATTTGGGTAAAACTTGTTCCTGTCATTGTCAGCAAAAAGCACCCATTTTATTACCTGGGCCAGAGTCCTGCTGATATACCAGGCACCTCTGTTGGTGCTGCTGGTTTCAGTAGTCCTGAAGACAGGATCCGTCTCAGGACCTCAGCCCTTGCTCCTGTACGTCAGCGCGTGGCTGTGTCTCTCTCCAAGCAGTTTCTTGTGCTCTCTTTCTCATACTGAAAGGAATGAGCTTTTGTCTTGTGTGCAAAGGATGATACAGGGTGGCAATAAAAGCTCTCTTTAATGAGTACAGAGCAGATTCTGCTTTCAGTAATGCCATTTTACCTTCACTGGGGTTGAAATCATTTTGCCTCTTTTATCAGGACTCCACCTTAAGTCTTCATCTTTTCCAGAAATCCAGTCTTTGGTAAGATAGGTGACACGACCTATCATACTTTAACCTTTATAACAGAAGGGTTATATAGAGAGGGATGTTAGAGTGGGAGAGGAAAAGGCACCAATAAAGTACCGAGGCAGGTGATGTAAGCCCTTACTGAAGTCTGTGGTAGTTTAATGAAAGTAACTCAGACAAAATAAATGTTTCACACAGAACCAATATATGGCTGACCCTGTCTCAATGTCTGCATCATTAAAATAACCTTCTCAAAGGGAAGGCAGAGAATTACATACTTTCTTTCTGCCCTACAAGAAAAAAAAAAAAAGGCAAGTAATTCTTAGAAATGTCTAATGTTGGTTTAAAAAAAAAAAAAAAAAAAAAAGCATGGTAAATACTTGATGGACTGAATTCATTCCCCTTCTTGTGTGCTGACATCCAACACACTGCACAGGGAGATTCTACAGAAACGCTGCACAGGATGGGATGTTTCTTTATGGCATTTCCGTGTGCTTTAAATCTCTGAAGAGTTTTCTGTGTGTGTTTTATATTGAGTCATTAAGTACAAAAACAAACTTATTCACAAACCAACTTTGATCTAAGTTTCCTGCAATTTATCTTTGCTGTCTATAGCATGCACTGAAACCCTACCTGATTGTTATTAGCTCCCCAAATATTTATATCATTTCGGGTAATCAATGCTTATCACAGTTAATACAGATGTTACAATTTCCTCAGAGAAAGGCACAGTCAGCATAATAACATTTTAATTATTTGCAACATATGTTTTTAAATAGGCCTTTTGTTTACAGTATCAATTAAACGGAGTAGCTGTATGTATCTGATTAATAGATGGTGTTAAAAATATTGTACATGTAAATTACAGCTTTTCACGCTAAATATATATGAAGCAATAAGGCAGTGTCTTGGAGGTATTAATGTTCACTTAATTTAAATCATGTTGCTAGTGCTGTTTTCTGTTCCCATTCCCTCATGTTTGTGCTCTCTACAGGATGTTTTTCATTCAACTGCTGTGTAAAACAAATTTGCTTGTGGGGGTTTGGTGATATAAACCATCTGACTGGCACCAGTACATTAGTTATTCTACGTATAACTGAAAACACAAATGTAATATTTGGAAAAGTAGAGATAGCAGCATCTACTGGTTAGAAAGACATGTTTTTCATTATGGAGTATGGTGGAAGTTCAGTAGAGAACATGCTGAGCCCCTCTGTCCCTCATCTTCCTGGCGTCTTTATGGAGTCTTTTACTCCTTGCATCTTTTTGAAGCTATCTAAAGAGAATGAAGTATTTCTTTAAAATATATATAAATAAAATTAAAATATGAATGAACTGCTGTTTTCTCCACTGCATTAAAGAGGGAATTTTTTTCTCTTTTTTTCTTTTTCGTGTACATTTATACTACAATCGCTAGTGGCAGTACACCATCACCTTAACCAGAAGGGATCAATCTTTCATCAGGAAGACCAATTAGTGCGGTGATTTTCTGTACCTTAACTTCCTCAAATCTCTGCAGTTTGAAATCTGCTTCACCTGGAATCTAAAAGTTGCAGCTGTAAGATACCTTTTGTCACAGATTTTTTTCTATGAGTATCTGAGAGAAACCATCTTAAAGGATCTTTGGAGAAACTTTTCATTAAGGATATAACAAGCATACCTTGCTAGTTCAGGGATAGGTTTCTCCCATGATATTTTTTTAATATCTTTTTTTTATCTGATATTTGATAGCCTACAGGTTTAAAAAACAAAAACACACAAGCAGTGAGTAGTATTTCCCGTGTACAAAGACTATTGACCATAAAAATGCTTTGTAGTCAGGAGGAAGATGGTTCAAACACGAAATGCTCTTACCATAAGGTTTCACAAGGATCTAGATATTGGCCTCTCCATATATTTCAGCGTTTTTATGTTGACGGGAATACAAGAATTGATGTATTTACCTGTTTTAGTAGTCTGACCTTTGATGGCAACCTCATTTTGAGCTGTAGTACAAGTCTTATGTGCGTGTCTCACTATAAGCTACTGTGGAACACAGGAGGGTGATGCCAGACATCTCTAGTTTAACCTTCTAAACTCCTCAATATAATATGTTAATGTATGTACGTGCTTATATTCTTGGTGCTTCCAACTCAGCATTCTTACGATGTTCAAGTTTTTTCTTGCAATTTCCTGCTTTCTGGAGTTAGTGGATTAATTAGAAGCCTACAACATCCTGAGTGGAATGGGAATACAAGATCATTGAGCGCAGCTCCTTGCTTCACACAGGACTGTCCAAACTCTGCCTAAGAGCACTGTCCACATGATCCTTGAACTGCTGGGCAGCCTGTTCCATGCTCGCTGCCCTCTGGGGCAGAATCTTTCCCTGACACTGCTGACACATCTCTGCTCCATTTCCCTCAGGCTGCTCTCACACAGAGCTCAGCGCTGCCCCTCCGCTCCCTGCGAGGCCATCAGGCCTCCCTCAGCTCCTCTTCTCTGTGCTGACCAAACCCAGGGGCCTCAGCTGCAACTTGTTAGGTCTTGTCCTCCAGACCCTTCACCATCTTTGTAGCTCTCCTTTGGCTGTTCTCTAATAGTTTTATGTCTTTTCTCATGCTGTGGTTCCCAAACTCCACTGTTTGGGGTGAAGCTGTATGGTGGGACAGCCCCTCCCCTGTCCAAGCGGTGGTGCTGGGCCTGGTGCTCCCAGGGGATGCTTAGTGCTTTGGCCACCAGGGTACACTGCTGGCTCAGGTCCAATGTGCTGTCAGCTGGAACTCCTACATCTTTCTGCGGGGCTGCTCTCCAACCTCTTGTCCCTCTGTCTGTCTGTACATGTATCTAGGGTTGCTCTATTCCATGTGCAGAATCCAGCATTCAAAACCTTCAGCTTTGTTTAAAATGCACTAAGTCTGAATCTCCCAGTTCAGATTCAAAACCTGTGTAATGTTATCTGAGTACTTAGGAGAGAATAAGTTGCTCAAATGTGTATTTGGAAGCGTATAATTTTTCTGGATGCGTCTTTTATCACTATTTCTTGTCATGCATCATACAGAGCTGCCAATTTACAAGTAGCTC